TCCTCATAAAAGAAAAATTGTAAGCACCTTTAAAAAACTGAAAAAATCTTACAAAATTTTCCTTTTCAATGAAACACAGTGTGGACATAGGAATCAACACTGCATAGTGACTGTTAATTTCATGCATGAATTTAATTTTCAGACCAAGATGATTGCATTGTCATGAAACTGACAATCACTATGAAGTGTTGATTCCTATGTCCACACTGTATCTAGAAATACACAATCTTTGATACTGAGAATTTTTCTCCTATAATTATAGCAAATTTTAATGAATATCTATGTGTGGAAATATATATATATGTGTATGTATGTATGTATGTATGTGTGTGTGTGTGTGATCTCTGTACATAATATTTATCTATTCATTTTCTCATCTATTTTGCAGTTGGTGAAATGTAACATTAAAATTTTAATGCAAAGAGACATAAACCAACTTGCATGGAAAAGAGCAGTCAGTTGTCACAGTGCTACAAAACAAAATCTGTTTATAAAGTTTAAAAATAGATCAAAGATGGACTCTCGTCTCAAACATTTCTTTCATTCCCAAGGTAATGAGTTCCAAAATAATTAATGATCTGAAATATGTGGATTGGGCCCAATAATTCAAGTAAGATTATGGTTATAAATCCCTGGACACTTATCTGTTGTTGGCTAAGGCTCAAGGTTTATCCTTGTAGGTTATGCTTAATCAGATCAAACGTTTTGATTGATTCATGATTCTTGTTGCCTTTAAATGTTAAAACTGTTTGTTGTTAGTTATCAAAATAAGTTCCCAATTCATTTTCCCAACAACTTTCAGTTTATTTAGTTTTGCAGGCTATATTTTTTGATGGCTGAAAACTGTTGTGGTAAGAGTCAGTTACCCACTTTATTATCATGAATGGACTGATCCATACATAAGTAGTTCTGGGTAATTATATACAAGGGGAAGGAAGATAGTACTGTTGCAGTGACTTGTCTAGTTGAGTATTGAATACTACTATCACAACTGACTCTGTTAAGTGTTGTGTCTTGCCAGACTCCACATCATAACAAAAACCTTAAACATTTACAGGATGATCAGTGACTTTTTAAAAAGGTTTCAGTATCTACTATATAATAATTACTGTTGTGTATTTATTTATATCTTTCATGCTATGCTCTATAAAAGGGGTGACCAAACCATGGCTCATGAGCCACATGTGTCTCTTTGTCCTTTAATATGTGGCTTGTGAAAATATATTGGCTGAGCTCCTTTTTTCATTACAGTTAATATAAAAGAGAAATAAGAAAAATTTCAAGCTTTATAATTATTTACTGGGTCTGAACTGAGACCCCATTGGATTAAAACGCAACTTTAATATTAATGTGTATGTAACAAAAACGTATGTGTAAATTTTGTTTATGTCTTGCGGCTCTCAAACACCTGAACTTTATTACATGTGGCTCTTACATTAAGCAAGTTTGGTTACCCTTACCCTATAGCTTGGCTTGGCTTGGTTGATTATTTTTAGTAGAATATCAACTTCTCTATGGGTTATTTAATACTGAAAGTAATTTGAACACAATTTTATGACTTCAACTAAATACATTTTAACACAATTGTATACCTTCAACTATAGATAAAATGTATTCTTGGTCATTCTGCTATAAATATGTATTGTTGGTTGGTTGATTTTGTTTAGTGGCATATCAAACTCTATGGGTTATTTAATGCAGAAATCTAAATATTTTGAACACAATTTTATGGCTTTGACTAAATATATTTAGAATGCAATTGTATGCCTTCAACTACAGATAAAATGTATTGTTGGTCATTTTACTATAAATATGTATTGTTGGTCCATTTTTTATATAAATATGTATTGCAGGTATTTTTACTATAAAAATGTATTTTTATACCTACATAAAGTTTTGTTTTTGTTTGGGGTTCACTATTTGTTCATAAGTGGTACTCTATCAGACACTACCACCCCGGGTCAGCATGGACCTAGGAACACCAGCAATTAAGAGCTGGTTTCAAACTCCTAAAAACTTCCAATTTCCTGATCAGAGGCCTTGCTGAGAGATGTAGTTTATACTATATACTCAGCACTATGCTCTTCTATAGTGGGAAGTGGGTGGGGTAGGTGGTGTGTTTGTAAAATACTTAGGTAGTAAATTCATGAGTGGTTACTTCCTTTAGTCATTTTAATAAGCTATACAAATAAAATATTTATCTTTATTTAGACAAAATTAGTTCCTGAACACAATGAACCATTTAATTAACCCATTCCCTTACTAGTACATCACTTACACTTCAGTTTTCTTTGGTCATGCCTCTCTTGAAAGATGCTCAGATACCTTTGTCTATTAAGTGATTGTCTTGTTTTAACTTGCTTTCAAGACATACTTTGTTGTGACTGTCTTTGTTCTGTCACTAATCTTTTTTCCTTTGAGAGGTGATTCCATTTCAAGTCACTCTTATCTTTAACTAATAAAATTTCTAAAATGAAAAGATATTGAGTAGAAAGTGATTTATATAATGCCAGGAGTAATTAATGAATCACAGATGCCATTGACTGTCTAAAAGTATAAAGAGAACGGATTAATTAAACAGTTGTTGGTCCTCTATTTTAATTGCAAATACTTGATCTCTGTTTTATTGAATCTCAATATTGTTTCAAAACTTATATTTAATTGTATACTTTATGAATTACCATAATTCCCCATGAATAATACACATTTTTTTCTTAAAAATAATAAGCAAAATTAGGTGTGCGCATTATGCACAGATACAAAATTCTTTAAAATATTGCCATTCCATAGGTCGATTTCAGTTGCAAAATGACTAACCACAAACATACGATAATTTAACACTAACATTCGGCAATTGCGACCCCATAAGGATGTCAAATATAATCATATATACCTAACAATATTTACAAATGTAAAATAAAATAAGAATTATCATAAAACTAAATTAGAATAATATTATTTTATGTTTAAAACCATCTTTTAATAAGAGTAGGAAATGCTGGCCATAATGAAATTGGAGAGGTACAATTTATAGAGTTTGATTACCAAAAAAGAGTGAGTATTATATGTGAGTAGAAGCATTTCCCCACAATTTCAGCACAATTTTAGAGATGTGTATTATGGATGAAGGCGTATTATACATGGAAAATTACGGTAAATGTCTGAATTCTTTTAGACATCTAACATAATTTCCAAACCACTAAATTTGGACATTTTTGTTTATAATTTATATTTAACTTCACTATTCTTGTTTCCTCTTTGGATTTTTTTATTATTCTGTGTATGATGTTATATCAATGGATTATATTGTCAGTTACTTCAGGACACTCATTGAATTCACTGCCTTCATTAGTATCCAACGATGTTCTTGAATCACAATCCAATTCACTACCAGAATAAAAAAAAAAAACAGAACTTTAAAAAATATTTTAAAGTTCCTCAGAACCATAAAGCATAGTATTTTTCATGAAGTTTATATATATATATATATATATATATATATATATATATATATATATATATATATGCCAGGAAGTTGTTTATGTTGGTCACATCCACCAGTGAGTGACATAAGTAACACTCTTTCTGTAAAATATGAACTCAGGAAAATTAAATCACACTATTTTCAGTACAGCGTAAGTAGTTCTGGGACTTGTCAGTGTGTGACATCTTATCAATGAAATATCTTGTCTGTTGTTCTAGGACAAAAAAATCTCCTGTGAGATATCTTATCAACTATTTTCAGATGCTTAATGACACTGTTAGACTCCAGAAAGGAGTTTCTCAAATTTACTGAGAAAGCTTGCTTTAGTTTCAGATAATTAAATCTATTCTAGATATTTCATGTAGTTTAAATCAAATGTTTGGAAATAGCCAAATTATTGCTTTATTCATACTTCATAAATCATTTTAGCCAACATCCCCATCATTGTTGTTTTGATCACAATGTTTTGATCAGTGTAATTCTCTCCAAAATATTGTGACTGAAGGTGCCAATCTCAAAATTTTTAAAGGGTATACATTTAAATGTTATGAAATAAAACCTTAGATTTAAAAAAAATACACACAAATATGAATTTACTTTATTTCAATGTTTCTGTTCAAATATTTGTGTAGATTGTTTAGTGTGAAACCTTTGCCTGGTGTTTTTTTGGGGGTTTTTTTGCAATGTTTAGTCTAATGTGTAATTAATTCATAATTCAATATAACTTAGTAAAAATTTTGAATTAAACGAAGAAAGATGAATGCAGTTATATAAAGTTAATATTCCTTTATTCAAATAAAGAAAAATTTTAAAAAGTTAAATTAAAAAAATTAAAAATATTTTTTTTAAAATGAATATTAAAATGAAGTATTTAAAATAACATAAAGAATAGTAAAAAGAATTATTTGAAAAAGTTTAATACTAATGCTGTGCCATTACTACTTCCAAACACACACATATATGTTTTTCACACACACACACACACATCTATATTTATCCTGTGACAATATTTTGCAGCACACGTAATGGGATCTAGCACAGATGTTGAGAATGAATGTTTTAAAGGATATTATTGTAATGAAACAATCACTGTTAATAGATATATATGAATAAGGTTTTCATTTACCTGACTGTACATAGGTATTGGAAGAAAAACAGAACAGTTTAGTCCCTGCTCTAAGAATGAGTAAAGAATATGCCAACTTTATTTGAATAGCAATTCCTAAGTTTTTCTATAGTACTTAAAGTGATGACATCCAGTAGGGAGAAAATAATGTGTAACTAGAAGTTAAGATCTAATTCTCAGCAACTGTCAAAGCTTATTTTTCACTCTTATCTCTGCTTCAAGATCTTATCTTTATTATATATTGATATACTTGGACTAGCATTCTCAACTTTGTCATTATCATTACAACATTGTGAGCACCTTGGAAAAGATTAATGATATTATAGTTGACTATTACTACTAAGTAATGAAGTTTATACTTACTTTGTGCTCCACATTTGTGATGGCTTATGTCCATATTACATTGAAACACCAGTTTTTGTTTGATCACTGAAGTTAAGTGACGTCAAGCCTGGTGAGTACCTAGATGGGTGACTGCTTGGGAATGCCAGGTGCTGTAAGCTTAGACATGCCAGCAATGTAATGGATAATGGCTAGGAATTAGAAATTGGAGAGTCGGGTTCCAATTCCATTCCGGCTCATTATATTCACTTATGTTCAAATACCATTGGGAAAGGTATGAATCCACCTCTTCTCCCACCAGCAATAGATTAATTAGTTGGACTTCTATCAGTAAATCATTATTCTCTCCAAAAAATTCTTATCATCTGAAAATATTTTCTAGCTTTAAATAACCTGCAAAAAGTTGATAAGCTGTAAAAACCAATCAGTCAATCAATGAATCACACTTGTGGCCTTGTGCCAAATAAAATTGAGCTTAATAAATAACAACATTTCAACTATTATAGCTTCTGGCCTTCTTCAGATGTCTGCAGAATGTCAAACTGGATGCTTTATTCAATCCATGGGAGTATATTATTCTCAATATGTGGGTAGTGTAACTGCGTTCTGCATGGTATATGAAATCAGTGATCTGAGTTCAAGTTCTGGTCTGATCATTCTACACAATGGCCTCTATTCTCCTGCCAGATATAGCAGAGTAGACTTGGGTCTCTATCCTTGGGTAGCAACCAGTCTAAAAGAAGGAAAACTCTGAATTTCAAACCATGGGGAAGGCAACAGGGAAACCACTCCATTATAGGTATAGCAATTGGCAGATAATAAAGAAAAGGAATCTATTGAGAGACATGATTGACTACATCCTGAAAGAACATGGTATTTTATTTATATCTTTTATGCTAGAAGTTGATTGAATAAAGGGTTTAGTTTGAAATTTCAAGTTTACCAACTATGACAGACTGATGAAGACTGGAGGATACAACAGCTGAAACATTGTGACTATAACAACCAAGATGTGGTCCAAGTATTTCATTGTATAATCCCATTCTAATTGTGCTTGCCCCTCCCTCATGACCATTATGCCCTGCCAATACTTAATAAATAATAGACTATCCTGTTTTGATTGTGTGGAAAGGGAGCAAAAAACACTACTTGGTTTCAGTGAGAAAAGAAAGATAGTGATGTAATGAATATGCATACACCTGGGTTCCCCCTCACAGTAATATGATTGGCTGGTCTCAGCCATAAATACAGACTGATGTGGAGGTACAGGATCTATGCCTATTGACTACCCCTATTGTCTTCCCTTATTGCCTACACCTATTGCCTACCACTACGATGAGGACCAGTCCATTATGGTTACCTGCTAAATTCTCCTACTTGGTTACAGTAGTCCAAAACCACTTTGCTACTTCAAACAAATATATCCCTTTCCGGGACATATCAGGCAGAAAGAGAGGAGGGAAGATAGATTATGTTTAATAGCTGTTTCAGAGAAATGAAAAAAGTTGTCAATTTCAAATCTTTTCATTTGTACCCACTTCTTAAAATAATGACCAGCATTCATATTTATGATTGTTATTGAAATATTTTGTTAAAGTTGTTAAGCGTAAATATTTAATGATATGATAGGGAGACTTCTATGGATATTTTTGTTGTTGTAGAACCCACCATGAGCTTTTTATTCAATCATTAACTGAAGGATAAAGATTTATCAGAAAATTCAAATAAGAAAACCATAAAATTTTCATGGGTTCAAACTGGTAATGATAAGTTCACATTTAAAAAATTCTAACAGACATCTTTTTCCTTTATGTACAACCTAAGCTTTTACACTTGTGACTTTATTATCAACATCTCAGATACTTTTATTTTTTAATATTGTCATTTTTGCTTCTAATAAGTTTGATTGAGGATTATCTTTAAATTGGTAATCCTTATCTGGTCATCACTGTTAGAAAAGAATCTTAAATATCATCTGCCTTTTGATAGATTGTTTAATTAACAAATGTTTCTTATCAGCATTGAATTATTCAAGATAGGGTCATTTTATCTGAAATTACTTTTAAATACATTTGACCAAAATTCATATTGACATACCAATGAACTTTTTGTACTTGAGTTACTACAAAATTCAAATTAAATTAATTAATTTTTTTTTGTATATTCATATAGTGATTGACAATTGTATAAGCTATTTTGCCAGATATAATTCTATGTATGTTTTAGTACATGACCTGTTGGGTACAATGGGTTAGATGATTATTGCCTTTAAGTATGGCAGTCACTGCCACTGCCTTCTTCTTCTTGTATGACTACTACAGCAACAACAACAACAACAACAAAGTAGCCTAAGGGCAAAAGAAACAGACATCCTCATCTAGGCTGATCTGTCAATCCAGCATGGTGCTGCTTATATTCTTTCTCATGATCCTTTCAGTGGGCTTTGAAGTAGTTTGGCAGCGCCCATCTCCTCTCCAAGCACTTGGCAGAAAGCTGAAGACCATGGAATATGGTGTGGGCTGCTCTCAGTCCATACTCCAAGTGACCCATCTCAAGTTTTGAATTCAGAGTTGTCTTTCTTCTAGACCAGTTGCCACCACAAGCTATAGGAGACTGTCCAACTCTGCAGGCATAGCTGGTTGAGAGAAAAGATAGATTTATACCTTTCCCAAGGTTATTTGCGTGTATGTGAATGTAACAGACTCAACTGGAATTCAATCTCAGCTCTCCGATTCCTCAATCCAAGCCACAATCCATTACTCCACTGTTCTTCCACATACTTTTTTTGTATTTGTAGCAGTAGATAAAAAGAAGTAATAAATTAGATATATAGTTTGAAAATGGCTTAACCAAATTTGTTTCTCTTTTGTATGATGTTAACACTTGCCATCATTAATTTTTCATATCATGTGCCTTTAGAATGTAGGCAAATATGGTTCTCCACGGTTTCTTTTTATTTAATATCTGTAGATTGGCATGGCTCTTTAGGAAAGATAGTGACATAGTTTCTTATTGATTTTTCCATGGTTTTGATTTCAGAATAGTCCACCAAGACTGGTTTCCACCCAAGGCTAGAAAGCAATTTAACCAAATTTAATTTCTCAAGGGGAAAAAAAAGATTCATGACTTTCCTAAAGACATAGTTAAAGATAAATGTATCAGATTTGGCTAGGAACTGAACTTGGTTTGCCAGTTCCATTTTTCACACTGATAACTGTTACGCTACCCACAACGTATTTTTTATGTGCTGTGTCCCTTCAGGACATGGCTGATCATGGCTCTCCACGACTTCCTATCTCTTGTTGCTCTCAGCAATATTTGGCTCTTTACCCTCCCCTTTTCTCTACTTTGGCATCTATTCAGACAAGCTCATTAGGTAGATTAACGATTGCTTCCTTCTGCTTATACTTCATTATGTCCTATGAGTGCTAAATTTTCCAACTCCTCTTTCCTCATAATGTTTCTAAGAAATTTCAACTATCTCTTTCTGATTTTAAATATGTGTCCTTCTTGTTTCCATTTTCCTTGGAATAAATTACTTAATCATCTAGTAGAGATACCAAAGTTTCAAGTTTACTGAAATTATTCAATCATTATGTTGAAAAATAGTGAAAGTTTGTAAGTCAATAACAATTTGTGTTTGGTTTTAGATTAAATCAGCTAAATGATGACCTTAATTCTGTTTGAGATGAGGAAATGACTGCCTTTTTGGGATGCTAACACAAAATTTTTGGGATGTTAACACAAAAATCTGACTGTATTTTGGGGATGTTAACACAAAATTTTGTATATAATAGCATCTGTTTCTCATTTCAATGACAATCAATTAGATAGGCATTGGTTGTTTGGGATCTTAGCATTCATTTGCATGATTTAAACTATGGAAACATTTTAAAGTTATATTTATTATATGCACCCATGAGACCCATAACCTATTAGGATCATAGAAGCACAGCAGTAGCAGTGGTGTTTTCTGGACAAGATATCCTGATGGAACCCAAACCTCTTCAGGCTGGTTTTGAATTCAGGGTTGTCCTTCTCCTAGACCAGTTACCATCCAAGGCTATAGGACACAGTCTGTCCTGCTATTTACCCATAGCTTGGAGGGAAGAAGAGATAGATTCATGCCTTTCTCAAGGATATTATTGTGAAAGTGAGTGTAATGAATTTGACTGGAATTCAAACTCAGCTCTCCAATTCCTCAATTCAGGCATCTATCCAATACTCTACCATGCTGCCACTTATTTATTTACATATTCTTTGTTTTTTAAATTTTCTTTAATATATATATTTAAAAAAAATTTTAAGTGTCATTGTTATAAAAATGGTAGACAGTTCCAAGATATTTATGGAGCTAGGAAATAGAAAGACCGACTCTGAATCATCCCCATTCCTTTTGTATTCCTATAGTAAGAAGTAAGGTCCATGAACTGTGGCTTTGTGGAACAGACTCTTAGCAAGATGTTTTCCCAATCATTACAATCTTGATCTCTTCAAGTGTAGGGTTAACCATTATCTTTGCTGCATAGGCCCACTAACTTCACTTCTTACCTTTTCATATGCTCATATCTCTTGGCCTTTGTCTTGGGTGAACATTAGCATAAAAAAAGACCTGAATAAAGTAATGTAGAACTAGCCACTCATATCTGAGTATACCTGCCTATCAACTAATCCCAGTTACAGGCGTCTGTTCAGGCACATTTGTGTTTTCTAAACACCCAGTGAGCCAGCCTGTGGTATATGGTCATGTGTACCCTAAGAGTAAAGCAATGATCAATAGCTCTTACACTATACACACATCATACTCTGTATTTACATATGCTTTAATCACGATAAACAACCAATACGTGTGTGAGGTCACTGAATATACTAAATTGAGAAATTAAAAAATAGAACTCCGAGATTAAGGGTAAGTCATTTTCTTAATCGGATTAATGGAAGTCATCCAAAACTGTCACGCATTCAAAACTGTTTCTTCATTATTGGCTTTATCCTTGCCATATGGACATTGGTTATCTGCTATACTTACTTTAAACTAGGATAGAACCCATTAAAATGACAGAGTTATTTATCTATGGTTTAGCACTTCTGCTGACGATGAGAGTGTAGTATATATGCACTTTATGAATAGGACTATTGTGTCAGAAAGATAGGCAAAA